AGGTGCATGGATATTTGCTGTTCTATTTTTGACACTACTGCATGTCTGAGCTATTGCACAATGAGAGGAAGACATGATTTAGGCTGCACGATGAGCTCAAGGTCATGTAACAGACACCATGAAAGGATGTCCGATGTCAGTTGTGCCACGGCTTCTCCTCTCTCCTTAAGTCTTATTTTTTCAAATTGTACCTTTTTAGAAAATGTACAGCACTTGCACCCCACAAAGGATATCTGTATGTCAGTCAAGAGTTCAAAAGTGACATCACATCTCAAAAGATAAGTTCAATCAATTAACAGAACTCTACTTTATTTTTCAGGAGAAATAAGAAAGAGAAAGCTATTCTTTTTCTTCTAACAAAAGTAATAGTTGTTAAACAATTTCTAAAAGGTATAATAAAATTTTTCTGAAATTTTCTGACTAAATTTTTCAGAATCTTCATCAATCAGAATTATTTCACCTTTAATAACAAACTATTTATACCTTAAAGTATTTCTTCTGTTTTGCTAAAAGCAAAGGGCATGTTTTGTTTGTTTTTCTCAAGGTAACATTTCCACATTTTGGTAGAAATATTTAATAGGCCTTGCATTAGTCATGAAGTTTTCAGCAGGGAATACCTAATGAACAATGACTGAAACAACAAAGACATTCAATTAACGGACTTAACAGGGAGGGGACAAGTGGTGCGGGGCCTGGTGCAGTCACAAACAACCTCCTCAAGGACCTAGGCTCTTTCTCCGCTGCTACCCTCAGAAGTTTGTAGCAGCCATCGTCCAAATCGGCCCCTAATGATCTCTGCCTCCTGGTATTCACACCCCTCCCCCACTGCTTACCTGGGCTGGTCTGTGTGGCCTTAGCCCTGGTAAAATGTGGGAAGGGTGCAAACATGGCCGAAGAGGTATCTTCACCTATAAGATTAAGGTACATAAAAAGACTACAGCTTCCACCTTGGATTCACACTATCTTTTGTCCTCTCTCTCTCTTTCTCTCTCCCTCTCTCTCTCTCCTTTGCATCTCTTACTCTGGGAAAAACAAGCTGTCATGTTGTGAGCAGCCCCACGGAGAGGCCCACCTGGCGAGGCACTGAAGCTGGCCATCAACAGCCAGTGAAGAACTGATGCCAACCGACAAGCATGGCCGTGTGTTTGGAAGTGGGTTCTTCCACCCCAGTGGCCCTCGAGATGACTGCAACCTTTGCTAGCAGCTTCGCAACTGAGAGACCCTGAGCCACTACTGCCCAGCTAAGCCATTTCTGGGTTCCTAATCCACCATAATTGCATGATGTAATAAATGTTTGTTGTTTGAAGGCATTAGTTTATAGGGAATCTGTGGCACAGCAATAGAGAAATAATACACTCAGTGTCCACCCTGTTCCCCTGACAGTGACTGCCCCAGCTCCCACCCCACATTCTCATAGGACAGCATCTCAGGCAGGAGGAAAGGGCAATGGGGCTAAAAGGGCTCATTTTATGTTCCTTTCTCCTTTTATCAAGGAGGAAAATCTTTCTTAGAAGCCACTCAGCAGATTTCCTCTTACTTCTCATTGGCCAGAACTGCATTTCTGATAGCCTCTAGCTGCAAGGGAGGCTGGGAAATCAATAATATTGGGGTAACTTTGTGTGACTCCAGGTGGGTACTGGAAACACTGGGGGGAAACACTTTGTAAACTATATGATTATCTAACCACCTGAAATTAATACAAAATAACATTGAATGTAAACTGGAATTGAAAAAAAAAACATTTGGGCCTTTTAGGTCTTTGTGGGGAAGAGGGCACAGAACGTACGAGCTGGAAATCGCTGCTCTGTTGCAACGGCAGCATCTACCAGCCCTTCCTGCAGTTGCAGTGTGTCCATTGTTTTCACCTGGGGTCATTTTACTGGTTGCTTCACACCGTACTCACTGCAGACTGGAAGTTAGGCCTCGATTAGATTCAGGTTAAAGGTCATTGGTAAGAGTACTCACAGGCGATGCCGTGACCTTCATACTGTCACACCAAGAAGCAACCAGGACCTTCAACACACAAACATTTTACAAGATTAAAGCAGAGGGTGGTGTACCTTCAATGAAAGGCTAACCTGGAATCCAGAGGAGCTGCGACCTGGGCGGCTTCACTTGTAGTTGGGGAAACCCTGTGTTTGTCTCTAAGTTCATTTTGGGTTGTGCTGCGGGAATTGTGTGAGATAAGCAGTCTCAGTTACTTACTTCTATCTCCTCATGAGCTGCTGAGTCATATACGCAGTGCTAACTTGATTTAAAATACCTGAGAGGTTATGTGCTGACTTTAAAAATTAACTGCAGAAATGTTGGATTGTGGCCCTTTTATGACGTCATCCCCTTGAAGCTTGTAGGGTTCAGGCAGAGCATCAGGAACGAGGGGAATAAGACGCACCTTCTCAATTGTTTAACTGAGGCACAGGACGAACAGGCCCTGCGGCCTGTGCGCAGGTGTGCAGGGCGCTCGGCCAAGGTCAGGGCTTGGCGAACACATCAACAGTTCCTGTGGGACCTTCTCATGCGCCATGGTGAGTTTCTAGTTTGGCTGTTTGCACCTGCTGTGGTCTCCACTGTCCGGTCTCCATGGAACTGAAGAATATGTTTTCTCAGTGAAGACCGAGGCCTACTCTGACAGCCAGGCCTGAAGAGTGGGAAGGCCAGTGGCTGTGTTAGGACAAAGCACTGTGTCCTTGAAAGTGTGGGGGCCCCAGGCTTCTGGAGCCCCAGTTACCCATGGAGAGCAAGGTGGGCCCACTTCCGATTTCTCTGGGCATGTTGAGATGACACGGAAGGGGGATGCTTGTCCCAGGGTGTCTTTCTTCACCATGACCCTGTGCCACCTCCAGCTGCCTCCCCTTCTCTGTAGCCCCATTGGCAGGGGACTCTGTCCGCCTCTCTGAAGTCACCTCTGAGAGCAGAGTCTTGCTCTCATCTCAGACTCATCTTAAAGATAACTCCCAAGTAAGTTTTCCCAAGTCAATAAAAGGCAGCCCACTCCTCCCAGCCCCCGAGGCGAGGGCCTTGACCATCCTGCCCAGCTAGCAGTCCCCTCGTCCTGCAAGTCTCTGCAGCGATGGTTCCATTAACTTGCCTCCCTCCCTTCAGCCCCTGCCCTGGCCCTGCTGCCCGCATCCCTAGGAAGATGTAGCACCTTCTGCCTCCCTCTCCCTCCTGCCCTGGTCTCATTGCCCTTGCGGCTTCCCACCTGAGAGCCCTCCCAGCTCCTCCCGAACATCGGCAATGGCACCCTCTGTTCCACCTCATCTCCCCGGCCCACCTATCTGGGAGCCTTGGGCCTTCTACCCTTGATAATAATAGACATACCACATGCCAGGCATTTTACAGCCATGTCTTTAACCTTTAAACTCCTGTGTAACATAGGCGTTATTGTCCCTTTTACAGATGAGGAAAACTGAGGCCTGGAGAGGTTACACAGGTCAGGCTGCCTGTAAACAGCAGAGCTGGGATTCAACCCATGTCTGTCTGATCTGCAGCCCTTCATCCCATGTGACTGCCCACTGTCCCGCCCCGCCCTTCTCTCTATGGAGCTTGTGCTGTTCCCTGTCACAACGCCCCCCTGCCCCCCACAGCTCCTTCAAATCCCACAACCCACAGCTCCGCCACATAGCTTCCCCGATGGTTCCAGCCCACGCTGCTCACCCCCGTCTCTCATTTTTTTTCTGGCAGGAATCTCAGCCTGCACAATTCGGCACTTAATTATAAACTGTCTGTCTGGTGACTTCACATTTGCTTGTCTTGTTCCCAGGGAGCCTGGAAGTGCCTGCGTTCAGGGATGGGGTTACACTCACTCCTGCCCCCAAGAGCCCGACTCGGAGATGGGGGTGCCAATACTCAGTGGAGCAGACCTATTTCCCAGGGCCACGATGCTCCAATAGCAGAGTGGACTGCACCCTGGCACACCCCACCTCCACCCCAGCGGTAAGCCTCAAATCTCTGTGGACACACACTTTCTCTGTTTGTACACACACATTCAATCAAAAAGCCTCTTCCCAGAGGGGAGCAATTCTATACATGGAACTATCTACCCAAGAGACAGAACACCTCCTACCTGAATAGTAAGGTGGCCCTCACTGGAAGTCTAGCATGGACCAGGGGCGGCAGAGTTGGCCGGAGCTCCCTGGGAAAGGTGAAACTTTGATATCGCATCCCAACAGGGTATGGAGCTGCACTGGCCACTGGGTAGGGTACTTAGTGTCTCAATTCTAATTCTAGTCCTGCCTCTGGATGGACTGGGGCTGAGGGGGGAGCGTTTGCTGTGAAATTTCCAGGTTGTGAGAAAGAATTCACTCTCCAGAGCCATGCTGCATGGCTCCAGAGAAGGGCATGAATGGGGCCTCCTGGTGCTATGCTGGCCCCATGCACCACCTCCCTAGCCTCTGGGCTTCACAACATCTCTGTCCTGATCCTGATGCCCCCATATCTGTGTTCTCAAGCTGTTCCTTCTTGGGATTAAATGGCTCCATCTCCAACTTCTCATTCCAAAGTGGGGAGAAGAGCGTTGTAATATGAAGCCCCACACACTTCGAATGATCTAGATTTCAGATTGATCTTGTTCGTGGACACTTAGGAAACAGCATGAGGTTCAGGGTTTGGTGAGAGGGTGCTGACCAAGGGCCAGTGCGTCAGCGAAGGGCAGGAGAGACAAGAAGACAGTGAGGATGGAGAGCCGGTGCTCAGTGGGGCCCCGGAAGCCCAACTTGTCTTCCTGTACAGTTTTGCCCATGACCAGTCCTAACATGTGAACAAAAAAGTGATTAAGCAAAGGGGAGCTTATGTAAGAAGGACAAATAAAAACAATTGTGCAACATGCCACCCGGAGCCCGGAGAAGGAGCCCAGGGAGGGTGTCACTGCAGGGGGCACGGGCGGCAGGATCGTGTCCCCTCCAAACACCGTGCCAGGACAGCCACCGTGCCAGTCCTGCCGGGTGGGGAGGGGGCACCGCCCTCCTGGAGGGGGGCCAGCATTCGATTCCTTTACTGCCACAGTGCCTCAGGGAGAGAGGCACCCTCTGATAACCATCTGTGGAAGTTTTGCAACACGTGTGTGCATCCTTCTGGGCTGAGCGCTGAGCAGTGCCCGCCTCTTTGGGCCTGAGCCTGCGTGGCAGCTCAAATACCATAGGTGTGTCCGGCAGGGGCAGAGGGCTGAGGACTCTGCCAGAGATGAACCCAGACATGCGATGAAGCCAGGGGGCCCTCGGGACCAGATGCTGCTCGCGCATCTGGGGGCTTCTTCACCTTGTCCTAGCGGAGCTCTACAGGCCCGGGCGCGCTGCCTGAGCCGCCCGTGGGAGCCCCAGCCAACAGGGGAGAACTGGCCACGTTCCAGGCTCTGGGCTGGCAGGGAAGCTCAGCAGCCAGTTCCAACAGGAGGGCAGCCCCAGCTCGGGCAGGCCCGCACTGAGGGGTGACTTCTCACTATAGGAAGCCCCAGGCTGAGGAGATGGAAGAACAGGTGTTCAAGGGGGACCCGGACACCCCTCATTCCATCTCCTTCTCCGGAAGTGGCTTCCTCTCCTTCTACCAGGCTGGGGCCGTGGACGCCCTGCGGGACCTGGCCCCCAGGATGCTGGAAACCACCCACCGCTTTGCTGGGACGTCGGCAGGCGCCGTGATTGCGGCCCTGGTCATCTGCGGGATTGAGATGGGTAAGGCCTTGGTCCAGGTTCCCTGGGGAGCCTCTGGAGCATTCCCCACAGCGGAGCCTCAGGGTTGCTCTGAGATGCTTTTGAGAGCAATGCCAGCACTTGTGGGAGACAGGAGAGGATAAAGTGGGTCGGGTGGGACGGTGGGCAGCTATGACTTTTAAGGCTGGGGTCTGCCAGGTACCAGTCTCTGACCCAGCAGCTGAGCTTGGACCCATTTCTCTCTCTCTCTGTGTGTCTCTCTCTCTCTCTCTCTCCTTCCCTCCCTCCCTCCCTCCCTCAATGCTCCTACCTGTCATGCCCTGTCTCCCTCAGTTTGAGGCAGGATCTCCTGCAAACATCCTGGTCTCAGGGATTACACCATGGCACAGTCAGATGTGGGGGTGAAATGTTCTCCTGCTGGCCTCATGTAAAACGCAGATATCCTTGGGAAGGGCTGTGCTCCCTGCCTGGGTCGCCTTGGTGGGGATGGATTTGTCAGTCCCGCTTCCAGGTGGCTGGAAAGAAGAAAGCTGGGGACTGGGGGTGGATGCAGGATCAGGATGGGGAGGAACAGAGAAGGAATGTGGAAGCTCACACTTCACCTTCTGCCCTGCTAGTACAGGGGCCCCAGAGGGCCATACCATTGACCCAGAGGACAGGGGGGTGGACATGTTCCTAGCAGCCCCAGACAGCAGGCCTAGACCTGGCACTAGAGAGACCCAGTGTCCATCAACATGGGCCACCTCGGGTGCATTTATTCATTTACTGTGCTGCAGTTCTGTGTCTAGCTCTGTTCCAGGCACAAGGGACAGAGTCCCTGTCCCCCTAGAGCAGAAACTCTAGGAGGAAGAGATACATAATAAACAATCATACAAGTAACCTTATGATGTCACATCAGGAAGTGCAATATCTATGAATAAAAGTACCACAGGAGAAGGTCAGAGAATAAAGTGGGAACTATTTTAGAAAGGGTGGTCAAGGAAGGCCTCTTGGAGGAGGTAGCACTCAAGCAGAGACCTGAGTGAAGTGAGTGAAGAAGCCATTGGAAAATCAGGAAGGAAAGAACATTGTAGGCAAAGTAGCAGCCAGGGAACCGGTGAGGCTGGGGAGTGGTGGGTGAGGAGGAGGAGGGTAGGGGTGGGCTGGAGAGGCTGCCCAGGCCAGATCACGTGGGGCCTGGCAGCCGGAGTAGCAAGCCCTGATTCCTCTGTGAGAGGTGGAAGCACAGACGGGCTGCGAGTGAGGCGACGTGGGGGCAGCTAAGGGCACCCACACCCCTGGGGTTGGATCCCAGCCCGACCATTTCACAACGTGCGTGCCCCTGGGGCAATTACTGAACCCTCCGTGCCTCAGTTTCTGCATCTGTAAAGTGATGGTTCGACTCATGCCTACTTCCCAGGGTAGAAACAAGGAAGCTACTGTAGCTCTAGACCGGGGTGAGCATGGCAGGTGCAGGGCGTTGAGGATGGTGAGAGGCGATTGGGTGATTAGATCAAGGATGTACCTTGAAGGCAGAGTCAGTGAGACTTGCTGATGGGCCACAGTGCACCCCCTGCCCACTGCCCCCAAATTCCTGCCGTTGGGCACATCCTGTCTCCAGATTCTCTCTTTTCCGGGTGTCTGCATCGCTCACCCGCTCCGTTGCTCCCACCCTCCTCGTGTCATTATTTCAACTTCTTAAAATAACCTTCCGAAAGACTCAATGGTGTCCTCATCCTCTGGCATTCAAGCCCTTTTCAGAACCAATTCAGTACATCAGCTCCATAAATACTGCCCCAAACCTACTTGATCAGGCTGTGACGAGCCTGGACAGTAGGGGAGAGGAACTAACACCCACGGGAGGGACACCTGACAGCAGGTGTGACCAAGGACGAGACCATGTGCTACCCGTAATGAGGAGGGAAGTTCAGGGAATGGTGAGATGCAGGTGGGACTCCCATCCTGGGTACGAGATGCACCCACATTGCCCCAGCCTACTGCATTCATTTTCACCGCCACGTGATTTGCTGTTAACCAGCGCTTCCTTTATATCAGACGCAGTTCTAAGTTTTTGGGATATTAACTCATTCGTCCACATGCCCACCTCTGAGGTGAAATCTATTATTACCTCCATTTTACAGAAGAGGAAACTGAGTGACAGAAAGCTTTAATATCTGGCCTGTGGCCATACAAACCATAACTGGTAAAGCTGGGATTTGAACTCCGTCTGGCCAGAGTCTGCACCCTCACCCTTTAAACCACCCTGCTTCTTGACCAAAGGGTGTCGGGATGTAGGTGCTGGTTGTATAAACAGTGGGGACAGGGAAATCTCTCTTAGCTGGTGGAACTTGCACTCAGACCCGGGAGGTAGTCTCTGCTCAGCGGGACAAGTGACTTGTGTAACGTCTGTCATCAGAAGCACAACATAAGCCAGGACTTGGTCTCCTGCCTTTGAGGCTCTTTACCTCTCTCAGTTTACGTTTTACTTAGCCATTCTGTGGACGGGCCCGGCCCGTGTCTGTTGCTATAAGCAACACTGCAGTGCGCATCTGTGTTTGCATCTGCCATGCCCACGTGGAAGGCTTCCCTTGGGTATAGTCATGTTGACTACACCAGACTTGGTTTAATTACTCTCCAAAGTGGTTGTACCAATTCGACCTCTGATTGTCCCACAGCGTCATCAACCCCCAGTACTGCCAGACAGCAAAGTTTTAATTTAATTTAATGAACGTGAAATCATGTCTCACTTTATTTAATCTGATATCCTGATTACTAGAGATGCTATCACTTGTGTTTCCTCTTCTGTAACTTGCCTGCTCATGACATTTTCCTACTTTTTCTATGGAATTAGCCTTTTCTCTGTAATTTGTAGATGTTGTCTCCGTTGCCTGTACACTTGTCACTTACAGACGTTGCAGCTTCTCGTTCCACTCTATGGCTTGTCATTACTTTGCTTATAATGTCTCTTGTCCTGCAGAAAATGTTCATTTTAATTAGTCAAACGTATTAATCTTTTCCTTTTACAATTTGTGTGTCCTAATATCTTTACTTTGTTACCACGATGTCTTCTTCATTTTCCTTCAAAAGTTTTAAAGTTTTGTTCTTTCATATTTAGGTTAATCCAGCTGGAACTCATTTTGTGGTTATTTTGAGGTAGAAGTCTACATTTTTCTTGATTTTTCCATGCACTGACCTACTCAGTTATCCCCCACCATTTAGGTGGCCCTGTGGCCCTTTCCACACTTGTGTGACATGCTGCCTCTGGCTCACTCAAGGTCCTGGGTTCTCAAGAGTCTCTCTTCTCTTCCACTGTCTGGTTTGTCCACTTCTGTGCCACATCACCCTGCTTTAATCACTAGAGCCTCATAATGAGGGCGCATCATATACGGAAGTCCCTCTCCTCCTCCTCTCCCAATTCCAGCCTCAAATACTGCCTCTATTATTCTCGACACTTTTCCGCCCCATGTGCAAAGCTCTCTTGGGATCTTGATTGAAATGACATTTTCCATTCATAAACATAGTCTGTCTCTCTGTTCATTGTGGCCTTTTTGTCCTTTAATGAAGATTTGGTATGTCTTTTATTAGATATGCTAGTTTTTGTTGCTATGGAGAACGGGATCTTCTATGGCATTTTCTGATCTAATTGATTATTGCTGACATAAAGAATGTTGGCTTTTCTGCACATTGATTTTTTTTTGAGCAACCTGTTAAACTTCTTATAGTCCTAAAAGTTTGCTGGCAGATTATCTGATATTTTATGTGTAAACTATCACACTATCTGCACATGACTAGAGGCTTATCTCTTTTTAACAAAATTTTTCAACCCGGGGCCCCCGGAGCTTCTCCCTCATTCCTGGCTGGGCCTTCCTGACCTGAGACTTCCTGTTCTGTTCCTGCGAAGGCTGAGGCAGCAGTGGGCTCATCTGGAGATGTGCGCCTCGCTCTGTGACAGGAACAATTTGGGGGCGTGTGAAAAAGTGTGTAAAAACACCTACCACAGTGCCTGCTTTTATTAGAGATGCAGTAAATGTTCATTCATTCATTCACCCAAGGGAAGATGCTCTCTGAGACAACCTACAGGGAATTCAGGATTTCCAGTCTGGTCAGAAGTGGGGATGGAAACTTGCACAATTCTGAAAAATAAAAAGAAAAATTTTTCATATCCAAAATCGGGATTTGGTGGACTTACATCCCTATCCCCACTTAAGCTACTAGTGGGCACCTTCCCCTCTATAAGAACCAAGTGGCAAGCCAATCGTTCATTTCACACGTGTTTGTAGAGCATATAGTAGGCCCTGCGGAGGACACAGAGACATAACACAAAATGCAACCCTGTCCTTGCTCTCAAGGAGCTGGCAGTCAGTCTCCTCAGACTCGACAGCAGCCAGCAGTCAGGTACTCACAATACAAGCCAGTTCCGACTGAATGTTAGCAAATTAAAAACCGCTGGTGTGCAGAGGGAGGGAGCGAATGCCTCCAGTCATGGAGGGCTTCATGGAATTGGCATTTGAGCTGGTGCTTGAAAGGCAAGTAGACGTTCGACGGTTAGGGACAGGCTGGGCAGGAGCCCAGGCTTCTAGTGAGGACGGGCCACAGCGACAATCACAGACATGGAGATAATGCGGTGCCTGCGGGGACGGGAGAGTGCAGGCCCACTGGTGTCAGGGGTCGGGGTGAAAAGTTTCATGATAGAATACTTACTGTACTCTAGGCCATAATTTTGATATTCTGCTCTAGTTGTTAAAAAAAATTCATTAAATCAATGGTCCTCAGTCTTAGTTGCATATTCAAGTCACTGGGGGAGCTTTAAAATGCGCATTGCCCAGGCCTCTATGAAAACAGATTAAATCGGGTCTCTGAGGGGAGAGCCTGGGCGCCTGAGAGCCAGGGAGTTTCCGTGTGCAGCCGTGGTTGAGACCCAGCGTACGTGGTTGCACACGGCTTAGTGTCCTCCTGGGACACTAAGGTACCATGGGTGCATGACCAGGCAGTGGGAGCCTGTAAGGTGCCCATCACGGACCTGGACTAGTGAGAATTCTGTA